CTCTTCTTCAAGAATTTTCTAGAAACCGCCGATAAATTTAGTGAGACCCTCAAGAAATCTAGTGAGAACCTCGAGGTTATGAAAGACCAACTAGGAAATAAAGAATACTATACAGAGATCCAACAGCAGACAAGAGGATCCCAAGAATCAAGTCAAAGATTTGAAATACGAAGAAGCAAAAAATACCCAACCGGAAAAGCAAAAAGAAAAAAGAATCCAAAATGATGAAGATAGTGTAAGGAGCCTCTGGGACAACATCAAGCGTACCAACATCCGAATTATGGGGGTGCCAGAAGAAGAGAGAGAAGATATTGAAAGAGAGAAAGCAAGATATTGAAAACCTATTTGAAGAAATAATGACAGAAAATTTCCCCTACCTGGTGAAAGAAATAGACTTACAAGTCCAGGAAGCACAGAGAACCTCAAACAAAAGGAATCCAAAGAGGAGCACACCAAGACACATCATAATTAAAATGCCACGAGCGAAAGACAAAGAGAGAATCTTAAAAGCAGCAAGAGAAAGTGTGTGGGCAGAGCCATCAGTGGCAGGCAATGAGGGTGGAGAAATAGGTCAGCACAAGACCTACCAGCACTTAGACTTAGGGCTTAAGATCTTCAGCAGGAAAGCCTGGAGCTTTGAAACAGGAGAGTGAAACTGTGAGACTCGCATCTTAGAAAAGTCACTCTGGACACTGAGGAGAACATGGGGTAGAAAGAGGAGCATCCAGATCTAAAGAAACCAATGAGGAGACGAGGCAACAATTCCCGTTAGAGAAGATGGGAGCCTGAATTGAAGCAGCCTAGTTAGAAAAGCACAAATTCCAGAAACAAATCAGAGGGAATGATAGGATGTGGGCAGTGACAAAAAGAGAGGCTCCAAAAAGTCATGCCTGAATGACTGGCTGATGACACTACCTTAACTGAGAAAGGGAATATGTGAAGAGCAAGTATTGGGAAAAAGAAATAGTTTGGTTTTGAATAAGAATCTGAGCTCTTTGTAAAACATAAAAAAGGCAAAATCCATGTCTAGAGCACAAGAGATGGGAGCGAGGTGGGAGGTACATGTTTGAGAGTATGTATGTGTGGTAGGTATAGCCATAGGTGTGAGACATAATAACTACCATCTACTGAGCACTGACTACACACCAGAACTGTGCTAAGGACTTCACATCTTTTCATTTGTTTATTAGCTCTCTCTCTCTCTCTCTCTCTCTCTCTCTCTCTCACACACACACACACACACACACACACACACACACACACACACACGCACACATTAATCCTGCGAGAAACTATCTTTCTCATATTACACACATGGAAACCAAGGTTCAGAACAACAAAACCCCAGTCACAAGACTGCTAACTGTCAGAAGAAGAATCTGAACTCGATGCTGACTCCAAATCCTGGGCTTACAAGTGAACTATGAGAAGTTATTTGGCAGGAAAGGGAGTGAGGAGACAGCACGGAAGGGAAAGAAGAGATTAACAATGTATTAAGTGGCAATTTTTGTCAGCTACTAAAAGAGACTTTATACATGCCTGTCTCCTTTACTCTTCATACCCAGCCATTAAAATTGATATTAATCCCCATTTTCCATATGGGAAACCTTACTCAAGGTCATAGCACGGATAACTGGTGAAATGGGATTTGAACCCACTGCACCAAACTCCAAATAATTTAGTATTTCTACAATACCAAAGAAAGCATACAATGAGAGAAAAGAAGTGAATATTCAGTGCAGAGGATGGGATATAGCAACACTAAAGAAACAAGTGAAGTGAATTGAGCAACAACAAAAAATGATTCTAGGACATGTAACCAGCAGGTAGAGGAAATATGGGAATCCAGGGATGAGAGAATTTTAAGACAGGTGGTCAGTTAGGTCAAATGCTGTAAACAGTCCAGCTAAGGACTAAGAAGCCCATTTCATTTAATAATTAACAGGTTTTTGATAACCTTTGAGAACAGATGCTGTAGCGTGGTGGGGTTAAAAGTCAGATGTCAATGAACTGAGAAGACCTCAGAGAGCATATAACCAGCAGTGAGGGGAGGATAAAAGGTAGCTAGAGAGGAAGGTGAATAAAGAATGAGGGTGTTTTAGGATGACAGGAAACTTGTTGGCTGGGGTGTGGGGTTAGTGAAGGAGGAACAGATACAAGGGGAGGGGTGTGAACGATGCAGCAAGGTTCCAGGGGAGAGGAAGATCCTGCTCTGATTGTGAGGAGGCAGGAATACATACCTACAAATAGGTACAGACCTGGGGAATGTTGAGGGGGGGAAGAAGGAAGTTGAAGGAGCCCAAAATCTAAATAAATGCCCCTTCATTCATTATGAAGTAGGCAGTTTATCTGCTGAGAGTGAAAGGAACAGGAGGAGGCTTCTAGAAAGGAACCCTGTGGGAGACTGGAAAGAACAATGATGGCACCAAGGACTCAACAGGGCTGGAAATCACAATTGTGTCACTGAATCAATCAGCAAGGCTATGTGATTTCCTCTAGAACAGTGGTTCTCAACCTTCCTAATGCCGCGACCCTTTAATACAGTTCCTCATGTTGTGGTTACCCCCAATCATAAAGTTATTTTCGTTGATACTTCATAACTGTAATTTTGCTACTGTTATGAATCATAATGTAAATATCTGATATGCAGGATGTATTTTCATTGACCAAATTGAACATAATTAAAGCAAAGTGATTAATCACAAAAACAGTATGTAATTATATATGTGTTTTCTGATGGTCTTAGGCAACCCCTGTGAAATGGTCGTTCGACCCCCAAAGGGGTCGCGACCCACAGGTTGAGAACCGCTGCTCTAGAAGGTCTCAGCAGACCTGGGGGGTGAGTGGAGGAAACCAGTATGGGCTAACCTAGGACTGGAATTGGTCAGAGGAAATACAGCGATCACCAGGAAGTGAGGATGGTGGTGAGAGTACATTTGAAGTGACTGATTGTGAAATCTGCACCAGATAGAAGAAATTAAGGAGAGCTGATAAACTGAGAGGACAGAAAAGAGTAGAGAACTTGATGCTCCTCAACATAAGTTTAATGGGAATGGAGGAGTGTGGAGATTGGGGTGTTAAGCAGAGAGTAAACTTTCAGAGTTCAAGATTTCAAGGGCAGGGCTCTGTGCAGTAAGTTCCAGGATACAGCCTCACTATGTGGCATTGTTGTAGCGTCACAGAGAGGGACAGTCATTGCTGTGGGGATGGTAAAGGAACTGGACTTGACTATCTTCATCATGGATCTTGAAGTCATTCCAAGCAAGCTAACCTACCAGTTGGAGCATCTGCCCCCTGGTGGTCAGTGCACATCATAGCGACTGGTCAACCAGTTGACTGTCTGCCCCCTGGTTATCAGTGCATGTCATAGTGAGCAGTTGAACAGCCTTAGCATATCATTAGCATATTACACTTTGATTGGTTGTTCAGTTCTGCTGTTCGGTCTATTTGCATATTACCCTTTTATTATATAGGATATATATATATATATGCTAGAGGCCTGTCCCCTCAGCCCAGCCTGCACCCTCTCCAATCTGGGATCCCTCTCATCCTGGACTCTGGCTCCTAATCGCTCACCTGCTTGCCTGCCTGGTCGACCCTAACTGCTCCCCCTTCTGGCCTGATCACCCCTAACTGCCCCCATGCCAGCCTGGTCACCCTCAACTGCCCCTCCTGCTGGCCTGGTCACCCCTCACTAACCCTCCTGCTGGCCTGGTCGCCCACACAGCCTGCTTGTTCAGTCGTTTGGTTGTCCCTCACTAACCCCCCTGCCAGCCTGGTCATAGGCAGCCATCTTGTGAGGGCGTGAAGGTTAATTTGCATATTACCTCTTTATTATATAGGATATTTATTGAGAGCTATTTAAGTGCAGGGCACTACCCTAGATATTGGGCATATGGGGTGAACAAGAAAAAGTTTCTACCCTCATGGAACTTACTTTCTAGTGGAGAAACAAACAATAATAAACAAAAACAACACTGGTAGTGCTAAGCAAAGAATTAAAATACCTATTATGTTATAAGTTATATAATAAAAAACAGCCTTTTTAGATTGGGAAATCAGGGAAGGCTCAAAGGCCATGAAATCTGAGCTGATATCTGAATGATAAGAATCAGACTTTGGAAGAGAGATGGCCTAGCCAAAGCAAAGACCCTGAGCGAAAATAAACATGCCCGATTTGAGGAACTGAAAGAGCCAACGTGTCTGGGAGGCATTTGTGAGGGCACTTCTGAAGTGAAGACACTGCCCCTTCCTTCAGGAACTTGTGGTGAAGTAGAGCTCAGCACAGACAGTTCTGACACTTCTCTTTTGGCATAAACCTTCAGAGAACTTCAAATTCGTTATACCTACTGAGTAAAAATGTCAACATTTTAAACAGAAGTAAGTCTCCATTTCTTTTCCTATAGGCTAGTTTCCTCTTCTGGAGCCGAAGAGATTCCATGGCAATGTTAGCCTCAGAGAGGAAGCAGATATTAATGCATATTCCATAAAACAAGTTCATGCTAAGAAATCCAAACTCTTCCAAAAACCAAGGCTTACTTGTCCTTCCCAAACTCAAACTTCCCAGGTCCAATTCGAAGTAGAGAGCCATTGAGCCACTTGGGGAAATGTCCTCGGACTTGGGCGGAGATGGTCTGTGGAGTCTCCTCCACCGTGGCTATTAGGGGCGCAATACAGGGAAGACCCTCCTGCTTACAGGAAACAGCTTTTGTCTGGTGACTGTTGTCCATGTACTTCTTCAAAACTGTGAAGAGAACATCGAAAGCACAACAAATATTTACCAATCTTCTATAAACATGCCTATTTCTCCCTCCTGGTCAGGGAAATGTAAAACCAACACCAAATATAGTCTCCAAATCCCTCCCTCTCCTTCCTCATTCTCAGTTGAATTCTTTGATTCACCATTTTTTGACAATCTTTTTTGTATTCTTGTAGTACAAATCTGCTTGAGAATTAACTCAGGACTTTAATTATTATCATTTCTCATAGTTGAACAATGCTCATCTTTTCACAAGGTGGAATCTAACCCAAGATGGACTAATAGCACCCTCATTATAATGATAAAAATGACCACTATTCAATATTATCATAATTACATTGACCTCAGTACTTTATATACATCAGAATGCGATCCCAAAAAATTCATAGGGATTTATGGAGCATTTAGTAGGATCTACAATTTAATTTCTTCTATTTTGATGTACACATAAATGTACATGGCATTTTCTAGGAGAAGGGTGTCATAAACCAAACTGTGCAGTGATACCTGGTCTAAAATTACCTGAAGTTCATAAACCACAAGAAAAAATCATTAATATATAACAAAGAGCTGAAAATTGTTCCTATTATTTCATATTTACTTAGTGTTCACAAGGCAGCATTGCCTCACACAGAGGGGTGGCCAAATATATAACTAACTAGGTACTTTAAAACACAGTCCTTTATTTTATTTCATGAAACTGAAATAGTAATATAAAAATCTAAACTAGAATATACATAGAGACACTATTCCTCTGAAGTGAGATTTGCATTCTTTTAGCAAACTCTTTTGCAGTATTATATCTATTATCCCATTTCTTTCAAATCGTTCAAAAATTTAGTTTACAGAAACACCTATCAGAAAGGATATATGTACCCCTATGTTCATAGCAGCACAATTTACACTAGCTAAGATTTGGAAACAGCCTAAGTGCCCATCAGCAGATGAGTGGATTAAAAACAGTGGTACATCTACACAATGGAATACTATACTGCTGTAAAAAAGAAGGAACTCTTACCATTTGCATCAGCATGGATGGACCTAGAGAGCACTATGCTAAGTGAAATAAGCCAGTAGAAGAAAGATAAATATCACATGGTCTCACTCATTTGTGGAATATAATGAACAACATAAACTGATGAACAAAAATAGATCCAGAGACAGAGAAGCATCAAACAGACAGTCAAATCTCAGAGGGAAGGCAGGGGAAGCTGAGGGGACCGGGTAAGAGATCAACCAAAGGATTTATATGCATGCATATAAGCATAACCAATGGACACAGACCTAGGGGGGTGAGGACATGTGCTGGGGGGTGGGAGTGGCTGGGGAAAGGGCAGTGGGGGGAAAAGGAGACATATGTAATACTTTAATCAATAAAGAATTTTTAAAAATTAGTTTAAAGCACATGAAACCTGCTTTGCCATATGTAACAATTCAGTTAAACCCGACTGGTTCCTGATTTCCAAAATAAAATTTACTTTTACCCTGAATGCCCTTCCCGATAATCTATCCCTAAGGAAATTTCATCTATTGCTCAAAGCCTATTTTTAAATACCACTTTAAAAAAAAAAGCAGCATATTTTAATACTTGAGTGTGGACCCAGCCTCTGCCTGGCTCCAGAATGCTTGGGTTCAAATCTTAGCCTATCATTTTCCAAATAAATAGCCTTGAGCTAGATAATTAACCTCTCTGTGCTATTCCCTCCTTTCTAAGATGGGAATAATAATAATTCTTATTGCTCCTAAGGATACAAATAATAAATGAATTAGGTTATGTAAAGTTTTAGAAATTGTAAATATTAAAAAAAAGTTAGCTATTATTCATGTAGCTTTTTTTTTAAGCCTTACCCCAGGATGTTTCATTGATTTTTAGAGAGAGAGGAAGGAAAGGAGGGAAAGAGAGAGAGAAACATCAGTTGCCCCGACCAGGGATGGAACCCACAACCCAGGTATGTGCCCTGACTGGGAATCAAACCCACAATCTTTGGTGTACAGGGCAATGTTCCAACCAACTAAGCCAACCTGACCAGGGCTATTCATGTAACTTTTAATGATCAATCAACAAAGTGTTGGGCACTGCTGAGAGATAAAAAAGTACTAGAGCCCTGATGTAAAGGAACTCACCACCTAGTAAACAGACATACAAAGAGGTCATTTACACTGTAATCAGTGTTTTGTTTGAACACTATTTCTCAAAGTATAATCTGAGGACTATTTGAAACAGAAATATCTGGTTCTATGGCTAACATGCAGATTCATGGACTCCACTTTGGACCTAACAAATCAGAATTTCTGGGGTAGCGTAAGCGAAATAATTTCTGTGGTTTTGAGAACCACAAAATTAGAGGTATAAAGAGGATGCTTTGAAAAGTTAGAAGAAACCCTCAAGTATTTGTCTTTCTATTTTTATTAATATATGTATACTTGTCTTATTCTCCTCCTAGATTAAAATAAATTCCCTGAGGTCAGGTATTTTACTCCTAGTATTTAAGTAGAATTAAATTGAATACCCTGATAGGGCATTTGTCTGAATAGAGATTCATGAATTTAAAACATTTTATGTTTTAGAAAATATTAAATGTCTATATGTTCTGTACTCTATAGCATGCTCTTCAAACTTGCTATGGTACTTGCTATTGTGGTCAACACCTCCATGAACCCCTTTCTAAACTGTTGCCTTCCCAGACATTGCACTTTTCAAACATTCCTGTTTCCTCTTGTTTGCTTTATGCCAGCTTTATTATCACTAGCTGACACTTTGGACAAGTTACTCATCACTCTGAACCATAGGATTTTTAATGCTAAACAAGGATAATGGGGATAAATGGAAAATAATACCTCCCATTCATGTCTATAATCATAACCAAATATAATGACAGTCCTAATTTTCAAATGTTAATTCCCTTCATTAGCTCCTCTTCCCCTTATCACCCCATTAATGTATTCCTAAGGTCTGATCTTGGACCTTTACTCTTTAATCTCACCAGTCTTCCTTGGAAGTCTCATCTAGACCCTTAATTTTACCAATTACTTTTTGCAAGTGGCCCAACATGTCAAAAGAGAATTCTTCACTTTCCTCCTACCAAATCAATTTCCCATCTGCTAAATCACCTAGCTGCAAACTCTCTGTGGGCCTTGGATTCCTTTTCACATTCACTAAGTGGTTAAATTCTGCTGACTATAACCACATAGGGCTAAAAAGAGGATGCTAAGGGGATGATATAGGGTAGTCAGTATAAATTACTAGGGTTCAGAAGTTTGCAAGGTGCATGAAGCAAATCTTTCACAAAAATTTTTACCAGTCCACCCATCATGGGCAACCTCACACATTTTTCTTCTGGCTTGAACCTGTCTTCATAAGCACTGATGCTTCAACTCTTCTTGCCTATCAGTCACTTCCTTTCTCTACTGTCCTAATTTAGGACCTCACACCTGTTAGGTGGATATTATCACAGCCTCCTACTTGAAAGGAGAAACTAGATAAGGAAGCTATCTTCTAAACCAGAGCTTCCTAGTGTGGGCCTTTTGATCCCTTTAGACCAGTGGTTCTCAACCTTCTGGCCTTTTAAATACAGTTCCTCATGTTGTGACCCAACCACAAAATTATTTTCATTGCTACTTCATAACTGTAATGTTGCTACTGTCATGAATCGTAATGTAAATATCTGATATGCAGGATGGTCTTAGGCGACCCCTGTGAAAGGATCGTTCAACTGCCAAAGGGGTCGCGACCCACAGGTTGAGAACCGCTGCTTTAGCCATTGGGATGGCCCAAGTCCCCAGGCCAGTAGCCTCCTGCTCTAAGCAGTTCCCATCCAATTTACACTAGTGTGAGGAAAATTTTATCATTTTCTGTGTGCTGTGATATGTTGGGAAGCACTGCTACTTAAATTAATCTTCCGAAATAGATTTTATTATAACACATATTGCTCCATAAAACTTTCACAAATGACTCCTCTACCAAGTAAAGTCTAAACTGTGATGAAGGCACTGTATAGTCTCACAGCAACCTACCTGTCCAGTTCTGCCTCTCACTAATGCCTTCCACCCCAGCCAATCTGGACCATTCCCCATTCTCTTCTCATCATAACTGTACCCTTCTCTTCACCTAGGGTATTTCCCATATCCTTCAGGTGAAATTCACTTGCCTTACTCATCCTTCATGATCCAGTGCCCATGTCACCTGTTTTATAAACACAACATTCTTATTTCCTATAGCAAGAACTGATTCTCCTTAGTCTGACCTCACATCCCATCTGTTTTAGCTCTTATGGCACCTATTGTATCCTGTTCTGTGCAATAAAGATGAACATACTTTATAACCTCTACTACCAGTACTCCTTGAGTATAGGGCAGGGGTGGGCAACCTTTTTGTGAGTGCATGCCAAAACCAGCAAAATCGCTGACTCAAAATTCTTCTGCGTGCCAACCCTAATTTTTTGAGAACATGTTACGCCTACTTGATATCACTTAAGGTGTACGTATGTGAAGAACCTTGAAGAAATAAAATTCATTCGAGTGACAAAAACACAGTATATGATGATGAAAAATACATTTATTTTTTAATGTATACATGGACACTGATAGTCCGACAGAAAACTTTCTGACTCTGTTTGATATTGTCAGTGGGACTTTTGCTGCTGCATCACTGATGACAGAGATTTTATATCAGGTTTATATTTCGTGACCTTCAGAGATATGCACGAGCTACTACTTTCATCCGTCAGGCTACTCCTATTACAAGACTTAACAAACTTCATCACTGAGAACAAAGATTCACAAGCGTATGTGGACGAAAACATGGAGAGCAATGCTGTTGCAAAGTTTTTGAAACAGAAAAAAATTTCTGGAATGGCATTCCAAGTCCTCAATAGTTCGTTTTCAACACTTCTCTCTGGTACTCCTGTCTCTAATCGCTTTTTTTCAATGTTTTCCAAGTCAACTCTAAGGTCAATAAATTTCTGCTTCCAAATTGAGCTACTCTG